AACAACCCACAGTTACACAGTCATAATCATCCGTTTAAAGTTAAATACATTTATTAAAAATGGCCTAATGGAACAAAGAACTTCAAAAAGACATTTGTTAGCAGATGGAAACCAGCTATGACCATTCTAATGCAGTAAGTCTCATTTAGATTTTTTTTTAAATATATATTTTATATTTCTCTCGTTTTTATTTAATTTGTTTTAATAAATATTTCAAATTTTTATTTGACTAATTTACCTCATCTTTATCTTATTAATTTACCACCTATAGCTGGTTTTATGGCCCCAAACTGACCCCAACATGGCACCAGTGGAGGGGACTGAGAAATAAAATGGAAATATATAGAGAATTACTTTTATTTTAAGATTGAAATTGGAGAAATGTGTTGAATGTCGGGAAAAAAAATGATTATAGTGTAACTACACTGTTATACCAATGAGGATGTTGTGTTTTTTTTGTTCAAACTTCAGAATGAAAAGCTCAAAAGAAACAACCCACTAAAAAAAGTAAACGTTAACCTTTTCAAACTCAGATTTTTACTGTCATATGAGACGTAAGAGTTTATAGAGAGAAAGTAGAGCTGAACAGTGAGCAGCTCAGAGAATAAAATGCTAAAATAGTGTGTTAAATTCAGGTTTCTTAGTCATACCAAACTTATCCCACTCCACTCACATCCTGAATCACCTGGAGGAGACTTTACCTTTTAAAACCTTCACCTGCATCTTTCCACATCTCAGCTATTCACAGAAAACAGATTTATCTGTTAAGTCAGCGTCAAAACTGCGTTTTACAGTCCACAAACCACCCAAACTGTCTCTATTGTTCAACAAACTACCAATTTCTCCTCAATACATCGTATATTTGTCCCTTTTTCCAGCCTTCAGCATTTCTGTGTGGCGTCTCGGTCAAAGAAAAACAAACAAACTTTCTGAGCTCTTTGATCACGAGTTTCCTTCATCTAAAGATCTAAAAAAGCAGATTTTTAATGATTTTCCTTCATCTACAGATGTAAAAAAGGAGATTTTTTATTATTTTCCTTCATCTAAAGACCTAAAAAAGAAGATTTTTAATGATTTTCCTTCATTTAAAGACCTAAAAAAAGAAGATTTTTAATGATTTTCCTTCATCTAAAGACCTAAAAAAGGAGATTTTTAATGATTTTCCTTAATCTAAAGACCTAAAAAAGCAGATTTTTAATGATTTTCCTTCATCTAAAGACCTAAAAAAGCAGATTTATTATGATTTTCCTTCATCTAAAGACCTAAAGAGGTGATTTTTCAGTGTTTTCTTTCATCTAAAGACCTAAAAAAGCAGATTTTTCTAATGATTTTCCTTCATCTAAAGACATAAAGAAGCAGATTTTTAATGATTTTCCTTCATCTAAAGACATAAAGAAGCTGATTTATAATTATTTTCCTTAATCTAAAGACCTAAAAAAGCTGATTTATAATAATTTTCCTTTATCTAAAGACCTAAAAAGATTATTTTTATTGATTCTCCTTCAAGTGCAGACCTAAAAAAGCAGATTTTTCAAATGATTTTCCTTCATCAAAAGACCTAAAAAGCTGATTTATAATGATTTTCCTTCATCTAAAAGACTTAAATA